GGGCGGTAAACTCGGTTACCACGGTAACCACGAAATACCGACAAAAATTCGAGCAAAGTTTAAAATTCAAATTTGAAATCAAAATTTTGTCGACTAGAATACAAAAGTTTGGAGCACCGTATGTATGCTTCAGTAGTACTAGAGCAGCGGTATCAGGTCTGCTCCACTGCCACGCACCTGCAGGTCGCGAGTTCGACCTTCGCGTGCACGTATTTCTTTAGAAATTACAGCATAGTGTGGCGTGTATTCTTCAGAAATCAAAAAGTTAAATGCGGCCGGCGGTTCTCGAACACATGACGCAATGTTGCTGGTGTAAGATCATTACCACTAGGATGCAAGCAAGCTAGCGTTTGACCTAGAGATATCTCATTTAACTAGAAGATAGGAGTTTAAATTTCAAAAAAATCAAAAAGTTCGATAACCGAATTATCGTGGGGCAGCGAGAAACGCGGTTACGGGCGGTAACCGAATTTTCCGCCTGGTACCCAAAACCATGGTAAGGACCAACAAGCAATATCTGGCGACTGAAATACTTTGGGAAAGACAATTATGGTTAGTTTTCGGATAAGTACCCTAGAAAATCTACAAATAGGAGATGTTTTATTCTATTTTGATTACGTTTGGATAGAAAATTATTATTAGTACTATTCCCTCCGTTCCTAAATATAACTCTTCTAGAAATTCCACTATAGATTACATACGAAGCAAAATGAGTGAATCTACACTCTAAAATATGTCTATATACATCCATCCGTATGTCGTTTGTAGACAATCTATAAATAGAAATTTTTTATTCTGTTTTGATTACTTTTGGATAGATAATTATTATGTTTAGTATCAGCCTGCGTATTTAGATAAATATAAGACAATCTATAAATAGAAGTTTTTTATTCTGTTTTGATTATGTTTGGATAGACAATTATTGTTAGTAGTATCAGGATAAATACATTTGAAATACCATATGATACATGTGGTAAATGATCCACACATGAGGAATATACTATATCTAAACATGTTTTAGTGGTAGCTAGATACATAGATACCTTAGTATCTAATAAATCTAAGCCAATTTTTTTGGGACGGAGGTAACATATAAAGATGGGTCTCGCCCTCATGGGCAAAGCAGCACAGGGAGCAAAGTTGGCTTCCCTACGCAACGATAACAAGGTAAGCTACATCGCAAGCCTATGTGCACTCAGCAAGCAGCAGTCTCCACAATGTTGGCGTGCTGCTACTTTGTTGTGTCCCAGCTGCTCATTGTAATAACGCTTATGTACCTTGTCATGGCCAAGAGCAAGGTCCGCAGTGGCACGTGCTCATCGGCGACGGTGCTGCTTCCACTTCCGCCGGGGCCATGGCCGTGGCCAGTGGTGGGTAGCCTGCCCGAGCTAGTGCTCAGCAAGCCGGCGTTCCGTTGGATCCATCGCGTGATGAAGGATATGGGCACCGACATCGCTTGCTTCCGCCTTGGCAGCGTCCACGTCGTCCCGATCACATGTCCCAAGATCGCAAGGGAGGTGCTCAAGAAGCAGGACAAAAACTTCTCGTCCCGTCCACTCACCTTCGCCTCCGGCACCATCAGCTCCGGCTACAAGGACGCCGTGCTCTCGCCATTCGGCGACCAGTGGATGAAGATGCGCAAGGTGCTCACTTCTGAGATAATTTGCCCCTCCCGCCACAAGTGGCTCCACGACAAGCGCGCCGACGAAGCTGACAACTTGATGCGCTACATCTACAACCTCACCGCCGGGGGGTCATCTTCAACGTCGGGACTAGGCGCCAACGTCGATGTCAGGCATGTCGCGCGGCATTACTGCGGCAACGTCATCCGCCGGCTTGTCTTCGGCCAACGGTACTTTGGGGAGCCTCAGCCGGACGGCGGGCCGGGGCCGATGGAGATGGAGCACATGGACGCTTCCTTCGCCCTCCTAGGGTTCACCTTCGCGTTCTGCGTCAGCGACTACCTCCCGTGTCTACTTGGCCTGGACCTCGACGGCCACGAGAAAATTATTAAGGAGGCCAACACAAAAGTGGATAGACTGCACAACGTGGTCATCGAAGAGCGTTGGAGGCAGTGGAACAGCGGCGAGAGGCAGGACGGGGTCCAGGACTTCCTTGACGTTCTCATCACGCTCGCCAACGGTGATGGCAAGCCGTTGCTCAGCATCGATGAGGTCAAAGCACAGTCCAAGGTAAGCAAAATATTAATTAATGAGAAATTTTAAGATGGTTCAAGGGCCTAGATTGAATTTAGTGACCAATTGCCTCATAGTCCTACAAGGTACTAATACGTCATCCATGAGAAAAGATAATAGCTCACACTCTTAAATACTACTCCCTCCGTCTCATAATATAAGAACGTTTTTGACACTAGTTAGTCTCAAAAACTTTAGGGAGTAGATCTTATAATGTATTTCGCAGGTGTTAGAAAAGGGAAACAATAGAATAAGAAATTGTGAATTAATAGTTTAAACATAGCATTAATGTATTTTTCTACCATTTTGGTGTTATTTTAACTTAAATTGTATTTAAAATTCCAATTATTCAATGTAATCTATCTTTATGCAAAGATATAATATTAACTTACATTTATCTCCATGGAATGCATGCAGGGCATAATATTAGCGGCCATAGATAACCCGTCAAACGCAGTGGAGTGGGCGCTGGCGGAGATGGTGAACAACCCAGAACTGCTGGCCAAGGCGGTGGAGGAGATGGACCGGGTGGTCGGTCGCGAGCGACTGGTGCAAGAGTCGGACATCATGCATCTCAACTATCTCAAGGCGTGCATACGTGAGGCATTTCGCCTCCACCCAATCGCTCCCTTCAACCTGCCGCACGTCGCGATTGCCGACACCATTGTTGCGGGCTACCGTGTGCCCAAGGGTAGCCACGTCATCCTCAGCCGGCTGGCCCTGGGCCGGAACCCCGCCGTCTGGGATGAACCGCTCCACTTCAAGCCAGAGCGCCATATGGGAGACAACATCAATGTGGTGCTTACCGAGAGCGAATTGCGGTTCATCTCCTTCAGCACCGGACGGCGGGGATGCATCGCGGCATCACTAGGAACAACCATGAGTGTCATGCTCTTCGGCAGGCTCTTGCATGGCTTCACCTGGACCAAACCGGCTGGGGTGTCGGCCATCAATCTCAGCGAATCGAAGCACGACCTCTTCAAAGAGAAACCGCTAGTGCTACATGCTGAGCCACGTCTTGCAGTGCACCTCTACCCTCTCATTATGCATCGTTGAGCAAAATAACGAGCTATGAATCACCGATATGG